TGAGTCTTGGCTGCAGTTATAATGTCAACATTTCAGGATTTCAAAGTACTGTAACTGCAGTAATCAATTAAGCCTTACAACATCCTAAGTTAATAGCCTTACAACATCCTAAGTTAATATTCAGTCATCCGCCTTCGGTTAAACATAAGCCAGTGTTGGGGGGAAAAATCATGAGGTTAATTTCGTTGAATACTTCTATGTTCTGGGAATTTTTAAAGAAATGAGTCAGATTTATAAGTAATTTTTATTTCAGTTATGTTTCTCATTAGACATAAAATATAGCATTTAAAAAAATTCCATTACAAAATATGTTCAAAAACTGTAAGTTTATTGACAAGCACATAAGGGGCATTTGCTATGCGGTACAGTGTTCTGAATCTGAGAGGAATCGCCAATACTATAAGGTAATTTTTACTTTGTGGTAATAAAGTAAAATGGTCCTATATTTAATTCTACATCATAGAAGAAACTTGTTCAGTAAAATGCATAGCAATCAGCAACCCTACTGATTCATTTATAAGAGTGTCACATCAGCCAATAATCTCCTTATTAAATTTTAAAGATCATTATATGGCATTTTTTCAGTTGGGAAAAAAAAGAAAAAGAGTAAAGGAGCCTTGAAAATATTTTCATGAACTGAATTCATTAGACCAAATGAAGAAAATTAAGAGTAAGCTCAAGATCACTAGGACTGAGGAGTCCAACACCAGGTGTGACTCTGGTCCATGGAGCTGTCTTCAGTCCTTGGTCATTGTAGGAACCCTGGGGAATACTGGTCACATCGAGCACATTCAGTCTTACATGGCAAACTCCTGAAACCTTGACATGACCTCCGGCATGACCACTGCCTAAGAGATTTTGGAACCCTCTACCACACCCCACCTTTAGTACAAGTCAGAAATGTGAAGAAAGTCTAAAGGAGAAGTGAGGGCAGAGGAATGTTCTGTTTCCACAGCAGTGGTATTTAAATAGAAACTCAAGGCTTCATCAGCAAGAGAGGCAAGCATGAGGCCAAGACTATGCCAGTTCTTTCGGCATTTCCCTCGTCTGATTTCTTAGTTTCTGACCCAGGGCTGGGAGTAGGGTGAGGTAAGTGAAGTGCCTAGGGGGCAACGTGGAAGGAAGACACCCATGGCCCTGGTAGTAAGAGCCTCCTTCAATGTTGTACCTTAGGTACCCCACTTGCTCCACCCTAGTCTAAGCCCTGTTCAACTATAACTTTTTCAAGGATTCCATGGTAAGATGCTCAAAATATCTGTGATGACAAACAAGTCTACACTTTAAAAATAGGGGCTATACAAAGTGGAGTACATAAAAATGTTCAAAACAGAGGCCTCTTCCCAATTAACGAAATATTGTCCAAAAAAATATGTAAAGTTGTTAACCTATTCCAACTAATTCTGCAACAGCTTATTTGGGATTGGAACATAGTTTATTATTTTAATAATCTGCATAATCATGGATGAAATCCAGTCCTAAAATTTATCTTTAGTAAAAGTCTAAAACAATAGTTATTTTTGAAAGTGTGTGATAACCATACCCTTACCCCACCTCTAATATGGACAAAGGCTCCAATATAACAACAAAATCTATTTCCTGTGAATGTCTTTAAAGCTACTAAAATATAACGAAATGGTTCTAATTGTAGGAGTTTTTGTAGTTGCCAATTCTAATCAAATCACAATAGCTCCTCAAGACTGAGCTAAATAGATACTTCTATGTTAGAATCAAAATATAATATCTTACAAAATAAAAACCTTTCAAAGAGAATAATGATTCCTGGGAACTCATTTGTATCTGAAGTTGCAGAAAGAAGGATATTTGGGCAGTTAGGTTCCTGCCTTAATTGTAGCACAAGTCACTATTTTTAAAAATAAGTGGATTAATGTTAGAAGCAGTACTTATTGAACCTTCTATTCACAGGGAGCTTAACTTTTCTAATGTAAGGCCTTCAATTTCCAAATTCATTTGCAAGTAAAAAAATTGTTTATTCTTGAGGACTTTCCAAGACTTATGAACTCAGAATTTTTAAATGTCTTCAAATCAGAGGCTATCCACTAATTATCCATTTACTTCCACTTATTATTTGCCCTGTTTACTATCAGGATAAAAGTTTCATGTTTAATTTGTTAAACAATAAATTGATTAGTGAATGAAATAGGACATTAGGTTGTACTTCCTGACTTTTGGAATTGAATTCACCATAGTGGAAAAAAATTATTTGCTTCGTAGTCTTTGAGTCTAATTCATAAGTAATATATTTCTAAAGATAGGTGAACATAAGGCAAAGGTGAAAAAATTACCACTATGAATATTTGAGAAATGTTGTCAATACCTTGTCATTGTAATAATGTGTAGTCCACAAATAACATGAAAAAACTCTGATCAAACTCTCTACTAACTCCTACTAAAATGCATAGAACAGAACTTATTTAAGTATCCAGTTTTGTTTTTAAAATATTTTATAGATTTTTAAGTATTGATCTTGTGTGATGGTGTCACACAATCCTTTGAGTAAAGGAAGAATCATTTCCACACCATAAATGACAAAATTTAGGTTTGGAGAGAATACATGACTTGACCAAGTGTAGAGCATTTGCAGAAGAGGGATTAGAATCCAGATCTTTTTGTTCCCGTGCAGTGTTTCCCACTGCATAGCGACAACTGGCTGAATGTGATAATGAGCATTGGACATTTCCAGTACAACAGAAAGAAATTCTGGTCTCTAAAGCCTTCATATTTTATGGTGGTTGATCACATACACTTTTGATATTAAATTTCTTTAAAATGTAGAGCACCTTGAAATTCCTCTTCCCATAGGTGAACTATAACTGTGTCTATTTGAAAGGTATGCTTATATAAATGTCAGCCACAAACAATTATGCAAGGAAGGGCCACATGAAAGTACAAGTGTGTCACTGCTGTCGTCAAAGCAACTCTCTGCATTGCCAAAGGGAGAGGAAAAGTAACCCCCAGAGACATTGAAAAAGTAACCAATAAAGGGCAGTGTTCATGGACCCGACAGCAGCGTATCTTTCACAATCCACTTACTATCTAAAACCAGGAACCATCCTACTGTCCTTCACCAGCCATTATGTAACTGCATCCTAAAGATTTTAACTATCTTTAAAATATGAAGCCTATCGCAAGAGTAAATTTTGATATTTTTCCTAAGAGAGTTGAGTTTTAAAAGTAAGGCAACGAGAAAAGTAGGTAGAAGACTGTTTCAAAACAATAACACAAGTCCCCTTGGACTGCTGTATAGAATTTTAATTCACTACAGTGAAGTCGAAGAACTTCTGTTTCCTCCAAAACTCTGGCCAGAAATAGACTGCGTGTGAGTAGTGGCTTTAACGTTATGAAATAAGAGATTATTTCTCCTACAAATGTGTCATTCTTAGCTGTGAATTTTGTCAGACCCTTAAAACAGATGCACCACCATGGGCTGCAAGAACTATTTTCACAGTAGGCCATCCACATTATTAAACCATTTTATTGTGGTTATAGTTGTAGTTGTATAGAGCACTTACTATGATCTGGGAGAATTGCTTCTCACTCATTCACATCTATGCCATTTTAAGCAGTCAATTTCTCCGTTTCTGATGTTTGATGGATACACACCTATTCCTACCTAACCTATTTGCATGAGAAAAAATAGATATTCTAAGGGACACAACTTTGAGTGAAGTCTTAGAAGACACATCTAACTCTAGGCGATATTGTTTTCATTGCTATCTATTCTCTTTGAAGTTACATGAGTACCTTTGACATGTGACTAACTCTGAACTGAAACCAGATATTATCATAGTTTATAGCTCCTCACTGTATCTTTGGTGATGGTTTACAACATATCTCCTTTCTGCTCTCTTGTTAGAATTAAACTGAATCTACAAATAAAAGGTTGTTCCTGGGTTTCTTAACTAAAATGGCAGGTTTTTTATACTTTCTCCTGTCTCTCTCTCTTCCTTTCCTTTTACTGCTGTTCCCTTCCCATTCCTATCAGTGGAGACCATAAGAATCTACGGGCATTGCTAAACCCTGCAGAGGTCCCTCGGCTAAAACCATACTGAATCCTGACTGGGGCAACCTAGGCAGTAGAATCGACAGAAACCTTTGAAGGATTTTTAGCCAATCCAGTGAACATATAAAGTACAAGCAGAATACTTAAAACCATTACAACCTAATTTTATATCAACAGATAGAGGTTGTCTGAGGGTTTTTTCTATTTCACTTTTTACAGCTCTTACTACTGAAGAACTGTGATTACTTCAGTTTTACATTCACAAAAGGTGATTTTCATTGGCAGAGTTCCCATGGAGTAACTTCAGACTTCCCTGGTAATAAATCTTCATAAAGCCATAGAAATGAGCAGAAGTTCCTACTGAACTCTCATAATTCAGGGGTGGACCTGCTCTTCAGTTATAGATACACTCAAAGGGACAGGATTATCAGCTGCTAATTGTTACACTGTCTAACTCTGCAAACTAAAACCCATAAATTTGACCTTCTAAAGAAGGGCTAAGACGAATAAGGGGAAAATCATTGTCTACATGATAATCTGTAAATGTCAGATATTTTCCTTTCAAAATTCTTCTGGAAAAAAAAAAATCACATTTTAAAAGAGAAAAGTCTACAGTGAGCCAGTGCAGAATGGGGGCTTAGCACACTGTCATGTGGCTCATGAACATATAAGCAACCAAACTGCGAGCAGTAGTGCCTGGGCCCAGATAGAGCCCTTAAAAGCCTTTAAAGCTATTTGCTTTCTAAACAGAACACTTACATTTTACATGTTAACAAGAATTTTGACCCTTCTTTTGTGTTAGGTGAAAATGGCTGTATTTTTACTCAGAGCAGATAAAAATAAGCATCAGATAAATCAGTAGGTTTTATAGTAAATATTAATAAACAGGCACTCCAGAACCACATTCAATCTGAATTTGCTTCACACTAAACTACAACCCATACAATTTTACCAGAAGCAAAGAATATGGGAATATTACCTTGACAGAAAGGAGCCTAATGCCAGGTCTTGAAAATTTCCATTGATGTTGTGCAGTCACATTGGTAAAGCCAAAACCAGTCTTCAGGGCCTTCACCACTTTGCAAGCTGTCAAAATCCTCGTCATTTTGAAGATGTTGATTTGTGACTAAAATTAAATGAAATTACATATATTTTATGAGAATTTTGTTATAATATTTTTAATTAATGTGAAGGAAAGCTGGGGAGAGGGGAGTGCAGTCAGGTGTTTAGGGCTGACCGCACAGGGATCTTTGAATTTCCATCATTCTGTTATTAAATGTCTTCAGCCATAGCTCCTCCTTCTCTTAACCCCTCCTCCAGAGGTAATGCCCGGAGATGTTCTATGGACATGCAATACAAATTGCAAAACATCAAACACTACCTTCTCCTGCTGAAATAATGCTAGTGTTGTAGAAAACTAGTCATCCATCAAAGGAATTGCTTATGCAGCTGAACAGAATGACCTAGACACAGTGGACAACCTTAGGCACCTCACCCTAAAGAGTAGCAACTTTCTAATAATGCTAAGGATCAAAGGCTTTGGCTTGTATTAGATGTGACACCTGATTTGCCTTAAAAGAGATTTTGGATTCCCAAAGAAACCTGAAGACTTGTCATTTTCTGCTTGGAAAAAGAGTTGAAATCACATACAGCAAAAAGGACATCAGAATAGACTTTTCTCCACAAATATAGAGTAAACCATCTGTATTACTTTTGTTTCACTTTGCTCTTGAGTTAATAAAGTTCTGTGTTCCAAATTTTAAAGCAATGAGTAACAGTAAGTAAAACATAACTGGTGCAAAGTAACCTATTTAAATCCCTCTTAAGCATTAGATTTGTAAGTGTATGAAACAATGGCAAACATTGAATTTAACTTTAAAAATTAAGATTTTTAATTATTAAAATGTTACCTATAAAATTCTCAAAACTTGAGCATTCATGTTTCAACCTAAGTTGAAATTGATAACTTAGCCCTTCAATCCCATGGGTGATCAGGCAGGCAAAGGGTCTCATTGGTTGGTGGAAGCTCTCACTTAAGTCATGTGTCTATGTAGATCAGGAAATACTGCAGCATTTTCCTTTGATACCTTGTAAAGGAGGCCAAGGAATAACACCTCCCTCCTGGGGCCTCCCAACACGGAAAAGATGACATAGAATGACATAGAGATTGTGAACCTCACTGACATAGGATGAGTGCTAGAACTGGGGTGTAGAGGGTGAGGTGGGGTGTTTGCTTTTTTAAATTTATTTATTTTAATTTTTATCTGAGGATATGGACAAAAAGGATATTTTTTAAAGGAATGGGTGTGGATTTGTACCCACATAAAAAGCATATATTTTCTCCCATCACAGAAACTAGGAGAAACTGGTAGAAGGATTCCTCATATAAAATTAGACCAAGGAGAAGATTCATCAATAATGACAATAGACAGATATCAAGTTGTTAGATGATGAGGTTTTTAAATAACCTGAAGTCTCTGGAAATCCAATCAAGTAAGACACATTCATTAAGATCCAATTGGCATTTTGAGGGATATAAATTGAGGAACCAATTTTCATGAGAGTGCTTGTCAATCTAACATTTGATAACATACAGAGTAGTTGAAGTGAAACAAAGGAAGTTGAAAAATAAAAGAGATCTTATGAAAACGGTTTCACACATTGAAATTCAAGTCACATGTGACTTATATACTAGGATAATAAAAAAGCTATAATGTATAAGACCCCACTTGAAAATACCTTAAAGAGAGCTGGCACAAGCAGCATGTGTTCATAAAGAATAAACCTTCTCATACTAATTTCTACCTTTAAAAAGACACATTACTAGACTAAGTGGAAATGTTAGATGCAACTAACCTTAATTCAAGAGCATTGAATATATATTCCAGATCATTATTAGGTGCATACGCATTTGCTAGGGAATATATAAATGCAAGAGGACACGTAAGCCAGTGAGTAAACCAAGCTTGTAATGTAGGATGAGAACAGGATGGACAATGCCTTAAAGAGTTGGTTCAGAATTCGGTGACCTTGGCAAACTGAAAACATAGTCAAACACAAACAGAGTAAAGTGCAAGCGAAGTGAGGTCAGGTGCAAGTTAGTCCAAAAAGGACGAAAAACAAGCTTCAACTACAAATTGTGGAGGACTGATTATATGGAAATGGGCCAGACCCATAGGTGGTAGTCATAAAGTGTAGCAAGCTGCCCAAAGTTACTCACATTAAGTTGTAATCATTAAAGGCATACACAAAAGGCAGAATGCAGAGTGAAATTTAAGAAAAGAAACACAAAGTTCACTAGAAATTTAAATAATAAACAACTTAAAGTATTAAAAATGGAATTTTGATCCTGAGATGCTATTAAATTTAAAATCATGTCATATCATATAGGGCTCCTCATCAAATCTTTCAATCTTCCTGAAAGGGTGGAAAAAAGGGGAAACCCTTGGGTAATAAATAAGAAAATTCCTATAGTAGAAGCTAAAGCATTTAAATTTATAACCACAATATATTAACATATATCTGTGTAGAGAAATAAATACACCACTTGCTATTATGCCAGTTAGTGCAAATAGGTATTTAAATACATAAATTTCAATGGCTCCAGTGATGATAAATATGATCCCTTCTGAAAGTTGAGGTACTTGACATATGTTGATCACACACAGAATGCCAGCTACCTATTTAGGCACTTGGTATGACTTTTTTGCTAATCTTAAAAGGAATCCCTGAACTGAACATAGCTAAGACTATCACTGTCTCACAGATAAAGATGGTGAGTTCCAGATAAAGACCACACAACTAATAATTTGCAAAGCCAAGGCCATAACGTAACTCTTAGCCAACATCTATCCTCTTTCCAGCATGTCAAAGGCTGGTTAAGATACAATTTGATAGGAAGAATACATGATTCTAGAGGTAGCAATATTAAGAAATATTATATTACCCAGAAATGAGTAAAATTTAACCAGTGAAAATCAAATGAGAGATGAAAGGATCCATAACTTCTCTGATTTATTATTAGGTTTAAAATTAAGATAACATAAGAAATGAAGAATAATATAGAAATAAAACTATAAATTTTCTCTACCAATATACCGAGTGGAACTGATTGGCCTAGGAGCCATACTTCTAGCTGGCTAACTGATTTAGCGGGACTTACCTAAAATAGCAAAGGATGTTTTATATTTTTCTATCTTACATACTATTGCTTGAAGTTACTTATTCTAGAATCTGAATAACTAAATGCCATGGAATTTTCATGCTTGTTCATATATAAGGTCTACAATTACTAAAAAATATAATAATAATAATAACCAATTTAGGAACAATTAATTGAGTACTTTCTATGTATCAGGCACTGTATATCAGAAAACAGAATTATTTTCTGCTGAAAGATGCTTTGTAGAAAATTGGAAAACTTTTAGTGTATTGCTTAAATTCTCATCAAACAGAGAATATAAAAATGTAGAGAGTTTTAGATAGCTGAAAGGAATCTTTAAAATGACCTTTTATAATTCCTTTGTTTTATAGATATAAGAAACATCTAAATGAGGCAAAATCATCTCATTGTTCTTGAAATTTAATACTAGATCTAAAGCCTTTAGTAGAAATAACCATAGAAATTTAAGTTCTGAATAATTACATTTCAAATAAAAATAATTTTTAAATTATGGAACAATTAGTGAAAGAATTAACAATTACCTAAATCAAACTGTACACTCAGTGTTGACTTAAACATCTTAAAATTTGGCTTAAACATAAGCTTCATAAAATGAAATGACTAAATCATTACGCTCTTGTGATTCTAAATAGTAGCATACTTCGAAGAAAAAGCTTTAAGAGTTTAATTCATCATCAGCCTTTTTGCACAATGATTATCAATGCAACAAAACCATCTTCTAATGTGCTCAACAAAACAGGCAGCTCTGATGGGCTTGTTTTTCTAACTTTTGTAGAGAGATAACACAAATGATTTTGCAAGGCTCTAAAGAGCAACTCTGGCCAAGAGGTGGGGTTATCTATTGTAATCTAGGTCATGTGCTAGAAGAGTATCGGACCCTCATTAAATTAAACATATTTGATGATCAGAGAGAAGCAACTTGTGCAATGTGTGTCTTGAAGTTACCGACTTCATGAAGTAATGGACAGCAGGTTACATTGGAATGACGTAGAAGACCTTTTTTTAAAAATTAAAAACAGGTCGCCCACGCACATTCCTGCTCCACCCCATTTTACAGTACATTTGTTATATTACATTTGATTTTTTCCATGGCCTCCTGTTTTCAGAAGAACATGGTTCTCAGGAAGCTATATTCCTCCCTCCAAGCAATCAGACCACTAACCTCACAAACAGCCAAGTTTTATCTTTACTAAAACATCATTGCAAGTTCTTAGGAATGAACCATACAGATAGCTATCTCTTTGTCCAAATTTGGGGACTTCTGAACTGAGTCACTGAAAGGCAGGGTGCCTTTTTAAATTTTACTGAGTTTAAATTTTTTGGAGCAAAGTAATGCTCTAGAGAGAAAAAAAGAAAAACAAAAGGAGACTGAGGTTGGGGAGAAAGAAAAGGAAGGAAAAAAAAATCCTGGTTCTTGAATTCTACAAACTTCTAACAGTCAAAAGTGCCAACTTGGGTTTCAACTCCTGACACTCCTTTGGTTTCAAAGAATTACATGTTTTATTCTGGTATTGTTTATTTCACGACATTTATTTTTAGCCTACATTTAACCTCATCAAAATTATCCTCAGCTCATAAAAAGAGGGAACTATGTAATATGTCCACTAATTGAACTTGGATTAGGGACTTGATTTTTGCAGAGAATATTCTTGAAAACTTTGTGAACTGAAAAAACAAAGAATTGAGTATAGAAAGTTGAGAACTGTGTGAAGGTTTTGAAAATTTGTTTTTAACAGTTAATTGACTGGAATTCGAATTTGAGGTCAAACAGTAATAATAAAACTCCTACAAAAAGAATGATCAGACATATTGTAAAAAGTAATACAAATGAAAGAAATAAAGCTGCATAATGAGAGAAGTATTAATACAATGTAAGTTATTCTGAATAGTACACCAATATATAACTTAGAAAAAGAAAAGCTTATCAGATTAGAATATTTGTA